GTTACAAGTAGTTACATGCAAAGTCATAGGACACATAGCAGCTTAAGAAGCTGGTCAGTCCAATGGAAAGGTACTACGACATTCGAATGGAAATTCTTAGGATACGTGGTAGCCAAGGAAACAAGCAGTTACAAGCGGTTGTATGCAAAGTTATGGGAGACATGGTAGCCTAGGAAGCAAGCGGTTACATACAAGCTACCATTATTAAATTCTATAAATAGGGTATGATATTGTAACTTAGAAGGCCTTCTCAACACCAAACACAACATTTTAATACAACTTTACTTTTCATTATAATGCACTTTCAATACGATTAGTCTTAGTCCTGCACTTTACTTTTTAGTAGATAATTTTACATTTAATTCCTTTACTTTCATAAGTAACGTAGTTCTTCCTAGCCAGTTAACTATCCCGAAGTCCTTTATCAAAGGCAAAAAGAACCCTGAGGTGTTCATTCCAGACTTTATCACAGTCGTCTGGTCTTGCAATCTTCCACCTGGAATATTATTTGGATCTCTCTTTGAAACTACTGCAGTTCCTGGCACGCCCACCCGGTTTCATCGAAATCGGCAACTTTTACAGGCCAAACATAGTGGCACGCCCGGTGGGACAACCGGGAAAAGATCTTTCTTATGGCATATCTGAGTTTTGAATATAGAGTACTACTGAAGGAGGGCCGAACAACATGATATGTACTGCGTACGTAAAGCATGCTACCAAAGATACCTAAGGGTGGCCGAAAAATGTGAGCAATATTTTCGGTTTTGTCAAAGTACCGCTCAGGCTGGTCAATCAGGAAGTTAGCCGTACTTTTCACCTAATACTACTCAATAAGCAGTTGTTTTGGTGTGCAGGCCAAGTACGTTTGTTGAGGGTATTTCCATCAAGATGTACATTCCATGCCACAGGCACAAACGATGCAGATGCCATATGTACAATCGATGTCTATTCCAGTGGAACAGCATGTGCGGAATCCTATGGCAATTCCTCAACAGGTTTGTCATAATGTTTTTACTTACAATTTACATCATTTTGGGTCTTGTTAGGGTATGGCTCAGGTTGGTTAACAAGGAAGTCAGCCGTACTTTCCGCCAATACTATTCAACAATCAGCTGTTCCGGTGAACAGGCTAAGTATGTTTGTTGAGGGGAGTCCATCTCATAGGCCTGTGCATTCCATGCCATAGGCACAGACGATGCGGATGCCATATGCACAATCGATGTCTATTCCAGTGGAACAGCATGTACAATATCCTATGGTAATTCCTCAACAGGTTTGTCATGATGTTTTTACTAACAATTTTCATCATTTTGGGTCTTGTCAAGGTATGGCTCAGGTTGGTCAATCAGGAAGTCAGCCGTACTTTTCACCTAATATTACTCAACAAAATGTGCAGCCACCTGTTGCCATTCCTCAAAGGCCGCCTTAGGTTTTTCCTATGGCAGGCGGGGGACAACCTGTTCCAAAAAAATCTCCTGATCAAAGGGTAAATCCAATCCGCTAGAGGAGTATTCCTTTGGTAGATCCAAACATAATTTCAGTGGTGTTTGGGGGGCATCTAATGGCCAACTTACCCAAAGGTTGGCCAAAAACTACAAAGTCATTACCCTAACCTATGGTGTCGATTCCACCAGCAGTGAAGTCGATTCCGCCAGTAGTGAAGTCGATTCCACCATGACTTCCATCGCAGATGCAGGTTCCACCTAAGATGCAGAACCCTTTAGCAATAGTGAAGTCAACTCCAATAACAGTGAAGTTGATTCCACCAATAGTAGTTCATGTTCCATTTCAAGTGGAATCTTCAGTCAGATGTAGTTCATTCCATAAGGAAGGTTGACAAACCTTTCAATAGGAAGCCGTTATCACTTCTTCTATTGGAAGACGATTTTTCACAGTTAGATTTCCCTTCAGAAATGGCATAAGCTTCTCAATCGTTGTATATTCTTCCACCAGAAGAATATAATGGTCATAGTATTTTTCTTCCAATTTTGGAAAAGAATGCTAGTACTTTATTTGTCCCAAATTCACATCTTGTGATTTTTAGGGGGCAAAACTTGGCCAATCAACTATGTATTTGGCCCAAAGATATACAAATTCATCCTCCTCGTAAACCTCTAAACCCCGAGGGGCAATGAAATTGGATGTGAGGCTTCAAACTTCGTCTTAGTTAAATAAGATGTTTAAAGTTTTTAGCCCAATGGTACATTCCGGCTGAAAAGTTTTAGTTGCTCAATTCCTTAACAATAGGAATATCACATGGCAAATTCTCACTCATATCTAAAATTTGATATGCCTTACAATTCTTCAAAGAATATCAGGCACATCAAATTTGGGGGGCAATGTTTACACCTTATTTTTCCACTTTCCAGTAGAAGATTACCCTGGTCGATTCCAATGGAAAGGTACTATGACGTTCCAGTGGAAAGTCTTAAGACACATAGCAGCCTAGGATGTGAGCAGTTACAAGTGGTTACATGCAAAGTCATAGGACACATGGCAGCTTAGGAAGCGAGCGGTTACAAGCGGCATGCAAAGTCATAGTACACATAGTAGCCTAGGAAGCTGGTCGATCCAATGGAAAGGTACTACGACATTCTAGTGGAAAGTCTTGGGACATATGGCAGCCTAGGAAGTGAGCGGTTACAAGTGGTTACATGCAAAGTCATGGGACACATGGCAGCTTAGGAAGTGAGCAGTTACAAAAGGTTACATGCAAAGTCATGGGACACATGGTAGCCTAGGAAGCGAGCGGTTATAAGCGGTTATATACAAAGTCATGGGACACATGGCAGCCTAGGAAGCTGGTCGGTCCAATAGAAAGACACTACGACATTCCAGTGGAAAGTCTTGGGACACATGGCAGCCAAGAAAGCATGCGGTTATATGCAAAGTCATAGAATACATGTTAGCCTAGGAAGCAAGCAGTTACATGCAAGCTACCATTACTAAATTCTATAAATGGGGTATGATATTGTAACTTAGAAGGCCTGCTCAACGCCAAACACAGCATTTGAATACAACTTTACTTTTCATTATAATGCACTTTCAATACGATTAGTTTTAGTCCTGCACTTTACTTTTCAGTAGATAATTTTATAGTTAATTCCATTACTTTCATAAGTAACATAGTTCTTCCTAGCCAGTTAACTATCCTGAAGTCCTTTATCAAAGGCAAAAAGAAACTTGAGGTGTTCATTACAGACCTCCTCACAGTCGCTTGGTCTCGTAATCTTCTATGTGGAATATTATTTGGATCTCTTTTCGAAACTACTGCAATTCCTGGCACGCCCACCCGGTTCCATTGGAATCGGCCACTTTTACAAGCTAAACAGATACGTGTTAGAAATTATAAAATATATTTTATAATTATAAATACGTTTAAGAAGTATCAAACACGTATCTACGAGTATCTAAGTAGTATCGATATTGGGCATGTATACGTCGCTCTTATAGGTACATTTGTGCATCCTAGTCTCTTACTCTTGCTCTTGCTCCAATTGATGAGGATGTAAGTTCATGTCTCAGCCAACCGATGAACATGTGAGATCATATGATAATGCTCTCATCATAATTTTTTTCCTTACATGAATTTTGAATTCAACGGATGATGAATCGATGAGATAAGAATGACCTATAAGATTATATGATTGTTGAAGGAACATTTTGATATCTTTGGGTAGGTAAATATCAAACCCATTCTTGTTTTTTTGTGGACCAAACCCTCAATCTTTCATTTAAAAGTGAGAGAGGATACCCCTTGACTTTAGCCCTCTGTTGGAGAAAATAATTGAATGTTCTCCTTAATTTTATTCTCTCACTCATAAAAATAAACTTCACAACGTGCAATTAAGTTCAAAATTAGTTACGCTTGAAACAATGGACTCCTTATTCATGTATGCTATTTAGTTTTCTGCTAAGCTGAATCAAAGCCATCTAAATTAATACTTGGTATTAAGAGTTCAAATAACCTATTACAAACTCAATCAAAGCTTTCATCTTCCCAGACATAGAGTCACAACATTATAAGTACATTTTTGAAAGAAATAATTTACACTGCCAAATCCCAGATGGATCATATATAGCATATGTTTACCCAAAAAAATAGCAATACATCTTAATTGTCTAACATAAACCATCTTTTTTTTGTTGTCATTGCATCATATTTCTATCATGAAGCTCCTGAGCTACCACCCTAACATCTCGATCTCTTTAATTTCTGAAAAAAGTAATCTATTAGCATCTAAACGGATAAATATGGAGTGAAACTTTTCACTTACTATGGATATGCCAATGTTAAAGAACTAGAAATTAGTCACTTATTGCACCTTCTAAGATAGCAGCATCAATTATCAAAAAAATATAGTCCTTATTGAGTCCGCTGGTTACTTGTCTCAACCTTCTCACCTGCATGGAATTCAATATTTTAAATTATTGAAGGTCTACTTTTGTCCGGACGTTTGATGAAAATTAAACCATGGATGCTCTCTGTAACTAGGAATATAAAAAATGGAATAAGAAATAGATAGAGATTTTCATGTGTCGACTCACTTACAATTTTTGATTAATTGAAGTTTGATCTTCTTGAGTACTATTAGAGCATCTTTCATGTTGATCCTCTCATGGGGTGATTCGGCAGAGCATTTCAAACCCAATTCCATGATGGATGATAGACACTGCACCTTTGCAGTATAGTTATCTTCCTCTGGCCATAGTAAGTTGGAATCAACAACATGAATGATTGCATCAGGTAATGACTGATTTACCCAATCCTTGAGGCTCAGATCTCCGGCAAATAAATCATCAGTGGGTTTTCTTCTTGTAAATGTTTCCATTAACATAATACCGTAGCTGTAAACATCAGACCTTGTTGATACTGATCCTTCAAATCCATACTCTACATCCAACATAATAATTAATAAAAAAGAATTGATGTGTTTTGATGAAATTGAAATTTTGATAAACTAAATTGAAATTTTGATATGAGAAAAAGAATACCATAACTAAGATTTGGATAAAAATTGAAAGCTAAAACCTTCACCTGGTGCAATATACCCAAATGTGGCTAGAGTCTTGGTTAGTGCAATGCTATCCCCCTGTTCTAAGAACTTTGCGATGCCAAAGTCACTTACATATGTAACCATATCTTCATCTAGCAGAACATTGCTCGGTTTAAGGTCACAATGAACCACACGTGTTGAGCAATCATGATGAAGATAGTCTAATGAACACGCCACATCTATCATGATTTTTAGTCTTTGCAAGATATCCAAGAAGTAGTTGTGTGAATATAACCACTTTTCAAGACTCCCATTAGGCATGTACTCGAGTATCAAGGCCTTGAAATCAAGGTTAGAGCAACTGCTAATGACTTTCGTGAGATTTCGGTGACGAATGTTGCGCAGAATTTCGCATTCTGCGTCAAAACTCTTGAAAGCGGCTTCTTGTTGCACATTAAATACCTTTACAGCCAAAATCGTCCCATCTATTAGTGTAGCTTTGTAAACTGAACCAAAACTCCCCATGCCAAGTAAATTGCTTTCACTTAACCCATCAGTTGCTTGCATAAGTTCATGGTATGAAATTCTTTCACGTATAACCATGGGTATCAATTGGGTTCGAATTGGAATTTCATTTATCCACCATCGACTTCTTAGGCAAAAGATTAGAATTGTTGAGGCAAGAAGTACTGATGCGATCGGCAACAAAATACGAATCATTAATTTTTTTCTTTGATTTTTGAAGAGAACTAATATAACAAGGCTGAACTTGGAACCGAGGTGCACCACACAATGCTTCATTTGACAAAAAAGATTGATTTGTGAAATTTGCAAAAGGTCTTCCAGTCGGAATTTCTCCTCTTAATCTATTGAAAGATGCATTAAAATATTTAAGATGTAAGAGTTTCTCTAATGACTTAGGAATTTGACCAGATAAGTTGTTTTGGGAAAGATCCAAAAATTCCAAACTTGCCATGTTGCCAAGTGACTCAGGAATCGATCCTTGTAGTTTATTATGTGCAAAGGTAAGCCTAGCCAAGTTTTGCAAACCTCCAATAGTGCTAGGAACATTACCTATGAATTGATTCACCGATAGATCAAGTATCGTTGCTACCTTTAAATTTCCAATCTCTTGCGCTAGATATCCACTTAAAGAATTAAACGACAAGTTAAACTCCAAAAGATCTTTGAGATTCCAAATGGTTTCAGGTATGCTGGAATTTAATCTATTGGAGTCCAAATACAGATATCTCAAGGAAGTTACATTCCCTAAGCATTCAGGTATGGTTCCAAACAATCTATTTTCACTCAAAGCTAAAACACCCAAGTTCAGCAAATGGCAAATCTCCTTTGGAATCGATCCATCTATTTTGTTGTCCTCAAGATGAAGTTCTTGTAACTTACTCAATCCTTTGATTGTTGTTGGAATAACCCGAGTCAAGTAGTTGCCAGCTAGATATACGGACGCTAGGTTCCTTAAATTGCCAATCTCACTAGGAATATTGCCCTTAATTCCACAACCACTTGCATCAATAATTTCGAGAATATCGGAGAGATTACCGATGGAGATTGGAAGAAATACGTTTAAAGGATTTTCATCTATCCGCAATTCTATTAATTGTCTGCAATTGGTTAAGGAAGTGAGGAAGCTCAATTCTGGAGATGAGGGTTCACTAGTGAAATTGTTTCCTCCTAGGTTCAGAAATTGGAGTCGTCCTAAATTACCAAGTGAGCTGGGAATTGAACCTGTGAACCTATTACTGGCAAGGTCTATTTCAATGAGCTTAGAAGCATTTGAAATAGAATCAAGGATAGTTCCACTGAAGTTATTCAATCCAAGAAAAATATATTCAAGATTGGGTAGAGTCTGGCCAAAACTTGATGGAAGATTGCCCGAGAAGTGGTTGTCAGTGAGTGCGATCTCTTGTAGTGTTGAGATGTTGAACAACGTTGTTGGGATGCGTCCTGTTAGCTTATTCGAATCAAATACTATTCCTTCTAACAAAGGGAGTTCACCAATCTCTTGCGGTATCACACCTGCTAAGCCATGTAGAAGGACAATGAAATGTAACTTTAATTCGTGGGAATTATTGAGAATAAGTGAATAAAGAAATAGCAAAAACTAAAAGACGAAGGAAGGAAGAAAGCAATAGTATAGTAACCCATCTCTCCCAAAGAGGAGGTCTGGGTTTTTTTTAATTGGAATCACTATATTTATTACTCTAAACTTTATTAAAATATTAACTAATTTAGCATTTTCAAATTTAATCTATTTTGAGCCTGTCATGGTCATGAACTTACATTTTATGAAACCAATTACCATTAATTTTTTTATTGTTCACAAGCATCCTTTTGTTCGTAAGAAAATCATTGGAATTTAAATTGGAGGAAAAGTGAGAAGAACCCTAGAACAACTCACCAAAGCTTGTAGACAATCTTCTAATAAAAAACTGGATAATAACTTGCACCGAGAGATACATGCTTGTTTTGTCTAAAAACAATTTTAAAGAATTTAGTAAACATAAAATTATTTTTAGATAACTAGAAAAGCAGTTATCTCTTAAAGTATACATTTTTTGTAGCTGAATTTTGAGAAAGTAAATTCTAAAAAAATAGGGCTGCAACTCGGGCTAGGCCCATATAGAAAATTTTCAGCCCGAGCCGAGCTGCTTAAGCCCGCCCTACATAATTTGTCCAACCCGAGCCCGCACTAAACCCACCTTAGAAAAATTTATGCGTTAAAAATAAATCAATTAATACTACACCCATAACTTGAACTGAAAATCTTAAACATAAATCCCAAGCGCACTACCAACTTGACTACTACACTCTTGTGAATTAAGTATAATTATAAATATATATAATATTTTCAGTCCAGCCTGAATTGAATTCAGACTCAAAATATATAACCAAGGCCCAAACCGAAATTAAAAAAACATTGCCCAAGCCCACAAAATTTTGGACTGGGCTCGGGTTACTTCGGGTTGGGCCCGCTAAGTTGTAGCCCTATGAAAAACTAACAAGTTTCTATACATTTTCTAATTTTTAATTCTTTGAAAAAAATAATTAAAAAAAATTACCCATAAAAATCCATTTGGAGAGTAGTAAAAGTGGAGGAAAATGACCACTTGTGCCTTCCCGACCCAAATATTGAATTCTCACTTGTAGACATAATTTATAAAGAAATTATTATTCCTCCCAATATAAGTTATAAAAAATTTATTTTTATAAAAAAGGGAAAGAAAAATCTCAAAGCCATGCACAAATGAAGCTATGCACCAACAAACCATTAAGCACACCCACAAGGACCTTGTAGGTACAAAAATAGGTCCTCTCCCACAAATGGAAAGTTTTCATACAATAAACGATCCCCCTCCCACTCTATTTCTTGTTTCTTTTATAGTGTCCCTTCATTGCCCTAATAGTCTTCCGCTTATGCCCTCGTCTTGTTGTTAATGGGCCTTTTACATGGCGGGTTGGCTTGACCCACATGGAGAGGTAAGTTCGATTGGAATAGGTTTATATTTCTTGGCCTATTGTTAGTGGCTCGACCCATCTCTCAGGCCGTCTTTCAATGTCCACACTTGTGGGCGTATTTTCCCTTTCACCTTGCTCCCATTAATTTTGCTCTTATTAATGGGAAAATTAATGTATACAGAGTTATGCTTCAAATGGATGCTGACTCTTGTCTCTTCAGGTCATCGCGGTGAACTTTTGTATGTAAGAGCATTCGCATTAGGCCTGCAAAAGGGCCTTTTAAACGAGTGAGCAGCCCAAACGCATTGCAGTGGGTTGGTGGTAATTGAACGGACCCACATGGGCTCGCAATCTGGCTCTCTGAATACCAAGAGCCCAAGCGGTAAATTTTATTTTATTTTTTTTCCTTTGCCAAAACGCTATCGTTTTGCATAAAGCATATCTCCACACTCAAGAACAAAGGCATTGTTTGGTAGCATGGATTTTTTTTTGGGAAAAATAGGTTATTTTTAACTCATTTATTTTTTAAAAAATAAATTAAATTAAATAAAATAAAAAATATGTTGTTTAGACACTGTTTGTCCAAAAAAAAACTTGATTTGGGCCAAAAATAAATTAAAAAATCTTTTTTTGTTTTGTTTTATTTCCCCTTAAAAATTGATTTTTAAAAAAAAATTTTTGCTTTAAATTTTAAATTTCTGCCACAAACAATGCATTTGGCTATCCAGGCATTGTTTGGCTGATAAATACAGTGCCTTAACGAGTATAATTTAAATATATATATATATATATATATATATATTTAAAAATCAATTTTTTAAACTTTTTCAAAAAAAATTAAAAGGGAAAATTGCACTAACACCCCTTGAGATTTTAGTCAACGTCACTCAGCGGATTGTTAATAGATTTTTTTACATTGACATCCCCTGAGGCTTCAAAAATGTGCATTGACACTCCTCTATACCTCTAAAACCATATGAAATTACCTTTCACCATTTGACTTGTCAACAACTCCATTTAAATCATTAAATTACAAATTTAACCTCCTAACTAAATTTAATGGACCAAACTATTGTCTTTATCTTTTTTATATATATAGATATAGTTTATATATAATAATACTTATACCACCATAACCATAACCAAAACATAAAAATAGAAAATTAAATTAATTTAAAAAAAAAAAAAAATTTGCCAGATAACTATACATCGGAACCACCACCACCACAGTAGAAAAAAAATAAAGTCATGGCCAATCCATACTTATATGTCCTAAACGCCACCAAAACCAGCACCACACTAAGATAACACCACCAACACATTCAGACGATACCAAAACCACCACCACCACAATAAAAAAATAATAATAATAAAAATAAAAATAAAAATTTTGAAACACCCTAATAATCTAGACATCACCATAACCACCACAACCACCACCAGAGTAGAAAAAAAAAATTTAAAACAACCATGGTCAGCCCAGACCCATTACAACCATCTGAGGAGGGGGGGGGGGAGTTAAAGAGTAGGGTAGAGAAATAGGTTTAATGATAAGGGTAGTTTCGTCAATTAATAGGGCTGATATTTTGTAAGTTAATTAAATTAAATAATCAAGGGCAAATATGACATTTGAAACCATAAGGAGTGTCATTGTTAAAAAGGCCGTTAACCCGCATCTGAGTGACATTGATTGAAACCTAGGGGGTGTCAATGCAATTTACCCAAATTAAAAAAGATGGATAATGATATTTTGCTATAATGGAGAGAAATGAATGTAGTGATGATTTTCAGATGAGCAAATGAGTATTCATTTTATAAGATGAAAAATATAGCTATTAGGAGTATAGCGGTTAGAAATATAGTAGTTAGGAAAAAGTTTAAAAAAAAAATTTTAAAATTTTTTTTTTTTAACTTTTTCCTAACTAATTTTTTTTTTTTTTTTTTAGAGCGAAAATTCGAAAAGCCTGATGGAGTACATGTTTCTAGAGAGCGAAAGCTGCTAACGTGCCTCTTGGAATTGCTGACGTGGCTCTTGGAAAAGCTAAAGTGGCATTTTTGGAGAGCCAAAATTCAAAGAGGCTAGTGCAGATGCTCTAAGTGTTGTCATTGTCAACTTTTTCTTTCTTCACCTTTGTGACTTGTACTTTCAGATCGGTACATCCCCCTTGTATTTGACTGAAGAACTTTCTCCAGACAGACTTACATCTCATCTTTTCTACTTTATTCTGGTGATCTCATCCTCGTTATCCGTTACCTTCTTCATCAACGAGGGTGGTTGGTCTATTTCCCTTCTCAAGGTCAGTTTTGCCTATTTTATTGTTGTTTTTCTAGTTTTCTCCTTTCCATCTTTTTTATTCTGTTATGGGTTTCTAGGTTCTTTCTTTTTACCATGGTGTTAGACCTTAATGTTATTTGTGCCCGTTGCCAGATTCCTGGTAACATTTATCTGAAAGAGTACCCTGCAAACGCTGATTATGAGGTTGGGAAGGGTCTTTTCGCCGACAACGCGTTCTTTTCTGTTGCACATTTAGAGGTTTTTAGGTCCCACTACATCCTCTGTACTTTTTGGTACTTAACAAGCTCAATCTCCCCCTTTTTAAAGTTAACCCTCTTTAGAATCATCTCAGTTCTCTTGGTTCTAAACAAGGAAAGGGATCTAGACCTGACCATTATCGATTTATTGTTTTCCTATAAGGTTCCCAGGCTACGCCTCTTAGAGAGGCGTTATCGCTTTTTTCCAATTATTCATAGCATAATCTATTCTGACAAGCCTGATTCGGCTAAGGGGTGGAGAGATAGTCATATCGTTGTCCAGGAAAATTAGAGAACTAAGGCTTCTGATATATTCCCAATCCTTAGCTAGTTTGGGGATTGCGTTGTGCCTTTGTACAAACCTTTTAAGACTCATAAATATTAATGTGTCTATGACACGTGTATTCCTCGATTCTGTAGGTTCATTTATCATTCCATTAGCCTTCCTTCGAATTTGCTAGATTATTCCATTTACAATAAGAGACTCAGGTAACTCCAGAAAAACATATGGTGTAGTGTGCCCTCATCTCGTTTATTCTCACGTCTGAGTCTCTCAAGAACGTTGCTTTTGAAGCTAAATATATATTAAAAAAAAAACAAAAAAAATATATAAAAAAAAAATACATACATATCCCCTCGTTCGGTAGAAGTGCAGCTACTCAGAGGACAAGCAGTCAAGCTCATCAAGATACTCAGGCTCAACAGACTGTTGCAGTCCAACAGCCCTCTCAGAATCAGTCTCGTGGTAAAAGATCCACTCGGGAGGAGGATCCTAATGACAACGCTCCCCTACCTTAACGATAAAGGGTTTAGCCGAGCGGTTCTACTGCTGCTCAGGCTAGTCAGATGACCTCTGGATCGACTGGTTCCTCTCGGCCGATCATCCCTTGGGCTTTACAATTCACCAAGGCAGATCCTATGTCACTACTAGGGATACCATGTTCAAGAATGGGGCCACAACTCTATCCTATTGCAGGGACCTTTGGACTCTCATGGATATGAAGTTCCCAAAGGAACTTAGTAAGAAA